TAGAGACTGAGGGCGTCTGGTCGTTTCTCTGAGCTTCACGCTTTGACCTCGGGATAAATCTGCTGGGACGTCCACTCTGGGAAGACTGGCAGCTGTCTGGACACGTTTTCCTCTTGGGAATAATCCGTCTGTAGGATATTGGACTTCGGATAAACTTGTTCTGTAGAACTCGGCTTGTTTTCCATCCTAATGCTGCCTTTTCCTTGTAAGGCAGCATTTGCTTGTTCTGCTTTTTAATCTTGTTACAGATTTTCTACACTTTCACACATTTAATAACCTGATGAAGCCCAGATCTTTAGTATTTCTCCTGGTATTTAGGGTTTTAATTTTGTTATGTTTTTTGTCCTGCTAACTTGTTTTGAAATTTATGTTTCTAAAATCTGTTCATCATAAACTCTGCTTTAGTGTTTGCTTCATAAATGTCACATGTGAATGAACAGCCTGTTGCCATGGCAATGATTGACTGAATCCAGATCAGCACTCAAAATCTGTATTTTATTTATTTTTAATTAATGTATAGAGGACTGCTGTTTTCCTTGATTTACAGTTTTTTAGATTCTGGGATATTTAAAGCAGGTGTGTCCAAACTTTTTGCAAATTTTCTACTCAACAAAAAAACTAAACATGCTGTAATAAACAAATAAAGTAGCCAGATATTTTGTTGTTGAAAAGGGATGTGTAAATTATTATAAATCTAAAACTTAAAACAGGGTTTTGCAGGTTTGCATTACTAAAAGACGTTTTGTAAATTTTCTATTTATCAATTGGGAAAAAAAAAAGTACTAAATTTAGTAAATTCTGAGTAATAAAATCAGGACTTCTTTCTTTTGAAACGCTTGATGCATTTAGCCAAATTTATTAAGTTATGGCAGCAGGAAAATCAACTTTTGAGTAAAAGTCACCTGATATATTTAGAGAATGTAAAGTATGTAAATGTAAAGAAAAGCAATGTAAAGTATGATATGAGAATGTAAAGTATTTGTCATTAAATAATCAATTATTTAACGACAAGTAATTGATGGTTTTACCAACATTTTCTAATGTAAGAAGATTTTACTTTACCCTGTTTAAAAACATAAAGTCTCATTTACTTCAAACGCCTGTGCTGTCCAGCATCATTTCTTGAATTAACGTCGAAGGCCACACAGAATAAGTCCAGGTGCAGCACATGGCCCTCGCGCCGCACTTTGGACACCCCTGATCTAAAGGGTTAAGGAATCTCTGGTAACACTTTATTTTGAAGGGTGTGCAAAAGACTGACATGACACATAACACCTGTCATGAAAATGAAGGAGTCTTCAGGAATGGTAGAAATAATGACACTTTAAAAGCAAAGTTGCTTTAAAAGTGCTAAGTGTCAACTTTGCATATTTTTTTTTTACTTTTTAATGCAAAGTTGCATCGCAACTTTCAATGAAAGTGTCATTATTTACTAAATGACCTGTTTATAACAGGTTTTATGTCACATTTATGTCATTTTTATGCACTCTTCTTCAAATAAAGTGTTAGTTTGATAAACTCAAACAGCATCTCGCTTGGGGCCCTCACAAAGCTAGAAACGGCCCTGCTAATATGCATAAGCATGAAAAGGCGTTCTTCCCTTCCCATTTCCTGTGATCTAAAAAAAAAGAAGTGTTTTTTAAGTCTGCTCAGGTTCCCTCTCTGCAACAAAATCATTCCTGTGATCCTCTTATCTCTTTGACAAGACTCACAATAACAAGTGAGAAGGTCACCCCAAAGACGCCGCTTTACTCCTGATAGAGCAACTTTCATTTGTCTCAAGTGCCACAAATAATGTTTAGATCAGCGGCCGCTGCGTGGCGCCGCCGTGCCAGAGGCGTTTAGAAGGTTACGACGGCAGGGCCGCAGCTGAAGCGCCTCCTCCGAGGAGAGCGGCGCCTGATGGCCACCGCCGTCTGTTCCTGCAGGTACTTAAAACTGGATGAGCGGCTAATGAAAGAAGCCAACCACAGTGGATTCCTCTAACCGATTTAAACAGGTGGCCACACAGAAAGGAAGCTAACAATATCTAAATAAGATGATCCTGCTGAACGCTGATGAGTCAGAGGAGGAAAATACGGATCGTCATTGTTTTAGTGTAACTAGAGATGTTAACGTGTCATTAAATGATGGGCAGAGGACCCAAAAACTGTACCAAAGTAAGAGCAGCACAACTTTAACATGTTTTTACTCAAGTAAAAGTACAAAGTAGCCAACCTGCCAAGAAATTACTCAAGTAAGAGTAAAAAAGTTTTTGGTATTTCAAGCACTGAGTAGCATGTCAAATTTTCAAACATTTAAAATTACATAATTGGACTAATTTGTACAAGTAAGAAAAAATAAATTCAGCAATTTTTTTTCCCAAATCAGTTTCTTTCAATATAAAACTTATGAAACTTTAACAAAAGCTGCAGGTGTGTGTCATGCTTGTTTTCAGAGAATCCAGAAATTTCACTCAAGTAAAAACAGAAAGCATAATGCAGTAAAAAGTCATTTTTTTCAGAAACGTTACTGAAGTAAATGTAAGTAGTTACTACCCATCTTTGACGATGTGCTGAAGGCCGAGCTCAACAGTGACAGCCGCCAATGTAGAAACTGGGGAAAAACATTCAGTTAAAAAGTCGACAACATATTAAATCTGATCGCGCTGTAACGAAAAGCGAGTCGTGATAATAATAAGCTCTGATGGGGCCACTCTTATGGCCCATCGATTTCCAATAGCTGAGATCATAGAAAGCTGGAGGGGTAATTACACTGTGCAAGCAGAGGTCGTCCTGAGCAAATATCATTATCATCAGATTAGAATGAAAGGCTGGCGCGGGTCGAGCGCACGCGGGTGAAGGAGACCCAGAGGAGACGCTTCTCAGCACACATTTCTGACCCTTCATCTGTCTCAATGTCCCCGGCTCGCTCACAGCTCCCCGGGTCAGCCCTACATCACACTGACATAAACAAGAGGGGGTGGCAGGTCAGCAAGGCGCGCCCATTAATCAGCCCGAGACAAGGCATATGATGAGAGTGATACCTCAGAGTAGCAAACAGATAAACAAGGTGACAACGCCGAGAGGAGAGCGGCGGCGTCTCTGAAGCAGAACCCGGCCAGCGCCGGCTCGGGAAAGAAAAAGAAATTATTCAGAAACACGTATGAAATGTCACCAAATATGAAAAAAGTTATTCTATTAAATTAAATTTGACATTTTTCTTTGTGTTTGGAAAGCAGTATCAGGTAAATAAAGTTAAATTAGTTTGAACTGGGGTTTGGTTATTAAATACATGAGAAGCATTTGATCTGCTACTCTAAACAATAATGTTAATAAATAAAACTAGGATTAGATTCAATCACCAGGAAATTAGGGTTAAGTTGCTTCATTTCCCAGCTCTCCTCTGAACAAATTACAAATTTAAAGAGGATCTATTTTTCTTAAAAATCCCAAACAGCCTGTTTTTTGACAATAATTTTATGTTAATTTTGGTGACTGGAAAATGAACCAATTGTTAAGTCACATTCAATTGGCACTGTGCCGTTACCTAGCAACCAAAGCTGAGCTCCAGCATGTCTGGTCAGCTGGTTTTACCTCTGTATTCACTGTACAATGGCTGCTGGAAAAGAGAAGTGTTTTGTTGTTGACTTATCATCCAGAAACCACTTCAACCAATCAATCAAGTCTATTTGTACAGCACATTTCAGCAGCATGGCAGTTCAAAGCAATTTGGTTGTATTGGCAACCAAAACTGTAACATTTGTTACAATTTTTAACGGTTGTAGGATTTCTCTTTTGTCGTTTGTGAAAGACCATAAGTCATTTACACCGTTAGTGCTAGATTCTCGCGTTGTTTGGTTGTGTCTACCCAGAATGCCCTGTGTTGTAGTCCACTTCCTGTTTTTGGAGCACATCCGTTCACTTCAAACGAATCGAGACTTAAGTTTCCAGGTGAACCAGAGTTTGCTTTTCAGGTTTGCATCAGAGTTGGATTACACACTAACATCTCCCCAAACCAACCAGAAAAACAAACTAGAGTTGGATTGAAGTGGACTGAACAGTTCTTGTGTGAACGCACCGTCAGTCACCGCTTAGAGGGGACTCTGGGGTTCACCGTAAACTTTCACTTGGTACTCCCTTCCTCCAGAGCAGAGATCCTAGGCAGCCCGGCAAGAGGTCAGAAGTGCCACAGCGATGAGTCCCTGATGTCTCTATCTGTGCAGCTCAGCGTGGGAGCTGGCCCGAGCCACCTGCATTAACATAAACAAGGCGGACTGCTGGGGTCCGCCTGTCAGGCGCTGTCACTGTGGAGGACAGAGGAGAGACGCCTCTGCATTAACCTCCAGGCTTATCTCACTCTCTGTGCGTTCCACAAAAAAGTGGGGATTAGTACTCAGTCAGGAATTGCTTTTGGGTCCTTGTCACTCCGGCATGATTACTGAACTCCCTCTTCTATACTCACACTATTATTTTCATCTCCCTCTTCCACTCTTCCCAAAAGGAGGGAATCCCTGAGGCTTAAGCATGGCAACCCAGCGGGTCTGAGCTGCTTTGATTTTTGGTGTCACCTTCGGTGAGAAGAAGTTCTCCCTACTGTGATTTTTACCTTTCCTTCAGCCATTTTAATACATCTGTGCAGTACGATGACACAAAAGGCTAAATTGATGCTTTTTGGTGGGAGAGCATCAGACTCTTTGGAATAAGGACAAAAGCACTGAGGACTCTTTGCTGGCCTGAAAAAGATTTAACCTGAACCATAAAGTTTCATTTTTATGCAATAAGAAAAAGAAATAAATTCATCTTTCAGTCACTACTCACTGCAAAAACACAAAATTTGTGTAAATATTTCTAGTGCAAACATCTCAGTACACTTGAAATAAGACAAACTAACTTACAAGAAACTTTTCAGCAAGATACAGGATTTTGTTTAGTCAATAATTCCTTAATATTGATGAAAAAGTTCCACTGTCAGATTATTTGACTTATAACATTTTTCCTGTGCTGGAAGTGACCTCTGCGAGTGGAACTAGAACCTTTTCATCAATATTAAGAAATTATTGGCTTAAAACAAGCTTATATTTATTGCTGCAAAGTTACTTGTAAGTCAGTTTTGTCTTATTTCAAATGAACAAAGTTATTTGCAGTAGAAACTACACAAAAGTACTTGGTAAGATTGTGTTTTTTTGCAGTGCACAGATCATACGTGACGATACAAACGTAGACTTTTAAAATGTTTTTCACCTCCCAGCTCGGTTTTTACACATATAACATGATTTCACTTTATTCCAGCTTCTGTAATATTTCCAAATAACATCACACTATGTGAAAATGGAACAGTTTACAAACGGTTCACATTTTCTTTCCTTGTTGGTTGGACAGAATAGAAAAGAATAAAAACAGCTTTTATTGTCACAGAGGCGAAATTCATGTGCAGGAACAGCAACAGGTAGATATGTTAACACAAAAAAGTTCTTAGAAGTGTTAAAAATAATATATGAAAAGCAAGATTAATAATAACAATAATAATATTTATAATAATAATGTTAATGTTCAGAAATTGCAATAAAAATATCAGACTCGCTATCCGAGGGAAGTGCAATGAACATTGAAAAAGATCTTTTACAATTGTTAAATAAAACAATATAGTTATGAATCTGCTGCGTGTTCTGATGATTTTGGGGCTTTAAAAAATTGTCGTTATTTAATCTTAATAAAAAAAAACCTAGAGATATAATTGAACTTGAAACACAGCAGACATCAGATCTATGTAACGAGAAAACATTTCAACTTTGAACAAAGAGCTGGACGTAGAAACGCAGGTGCTATAAAGAAACTATAGAAACTGAAAGCTGAGAGGAATCAGGCTGACTTTTAGAAAAACATAAAGAAGAGATTTTTCATTTTATTCCAAGGTTGAAAGCTTGTTATTAAACTTTGCATTTTAGAAGACTTATTGATTCTCAGTTGGTCTAAAATTAAATGGGAACGACGGAACGTGACCTTTCTTTCCTGAACCTTTTCTCCATCTGCAGAAGGACTTTCTTTCTCCTGCCATTACTGTATTTGCTGAGCGTATTCTTGACATCTCGGCCTTGGTGATGTCCAACACAAAGGAGGCGCACACTCCGCCGCTCCCAACAAGGATGGAGCGTGAAAAAGAAAGGCGCTTCGCTTTGTGAGCCGAGGGCTGTCTAGCTAACTGACAAAAAACTTAAGATCGGTCGAGTTCTGCTGCTTTTTGTACTCAGTTTGCATCCAAACTTAACATCCAGCAGTGATGTTCAATAACACATATTTCATCTGCGATTCAACACTGAGTGAATTTAAAGCTGGTATTGATGATAATGATCCAATACTCAAAAACACTTCATGTGTCTGGAAAATCTAAAAACAAATGGACTTTATTCTAAGTTACGCATTTTAAAGTACAGTGAAATATCCTCATTTACTGTCTGCTATTTTAGACAGAAGACAATCATAGAAACTAAATAAAAGAAAATGAATTAAATAATAACCCTACTGAAATAAATCCACTATAAAATAAAGCTTGCATTCTAATAGTCATTACAAAAATATATTAATTTGAAAATATTGACCATATTTGAAGCTTTCCATCATTTACATGTTTCTGGTTTTTCCAACTAAAATCAGCCAATCAGAGCCAGGAGGCGGGTCTTAGAGCTGTCAATCACACACTGGTGTGGCACTGCTCATTCCCCTCCTCTAGAGAGTTAGCAAATGCTGCCTAGTGCTCTAGATAGTGGGCACCACTGATGGCGGATAAATGTGAGTTCATGAGGGTGATTGACAGCGCTAAGACCTGCCTCCTGGCTTGATTGGTTGTTTTTGGTGCATTTCTTCAGACAGCAATATGAGCTCAATAAGGAAGTGGAGGAGCTTGATCTTTTCACAGATTATCTCTCATAAACTAAACTGTCACAAAATGCTGACATTTTTAACAAATATGTAAAATATAAACTGCAGCTTTAAGGAACAGTGGCATATTTGCTGTTTTCCCATAAGATACATTATCCCAAATGATTGCTACTTTAACTTCAGAATCGATTCTAAAGCATAAAGACCTGGTATCAGAGGTTTTGATATTTCAGTATTATTCCGTACATCACCAGCTTCCAGAGCTGCAGACAAAATCCATACGGCAGGACCTGAAGGCCTAATCAAACTCAGAGCAAGAGGGGAGCCAATAACTGCTTAATTACTAATGAGAATAATGACAATAATAATCAGACGACTCTGCAGCCAGCGTGGCGGAGAGGCAGAGGCACACTGAGGGAGATCTGCCTCCAAGCAAGGCAGCAATTAGGGCAGAAGCTGAGGAGGCAGCTAGTGGCAAAGACTTGAGATGAGCTGCAAACACCGACTCAGAGTTGTCCAACACCTCTTCCTCCGCAGCAGCATCATCATCATCATCAGCTGCTGCTGACAGCACCGCCTTTCATTATGGGAGTCCTGCATGTGTGGAGATCTGGGGAAACTCGCATGAAAACCCGTCGACTCGTTGCACAACAAAGCTTTCTGAACTGCTGCCGCCTTGGACTGTTTTCAGCCAACTGATGAAATATTTCTTTTACAATTTTATGATTTAGTAGAAATCACAACAGTACAAAGCCTATTCTTTCCTAGTTGTATACAAATGTGGTTTGAAATTAAAGAAGCAAACTATGAATCAAAGTTATTTTAGTTAACTAAAACTAATGAAACAGAAACTTGAAAAATTGAGAAAACATATTGTCAATAACTGAAATAAATAAAAACAGTAATTAATGGAGAAAAACAATAACTAACTGGAACTATATTGTGCTTTTATAAACTAAATGTTTTATAAAGCTGTGCTTTTATAAACTAAAACATACTGAAATTATAGACATAATAGTCTTTGTTTTTGTGTTTATAAATATATTTACTAGATTTTCAAATTGATGTG